TAAAATTACTCATTGTTATAAAATTTATACATAAAATAAATAAATAAAAAGAAAATTTAAAAAAAAGAAAAAATTTATACATAAACTCTTAGATTTCCTAAATTACATAACACTATTATTTCATGCCCGGCAGTTTGCTTTCTTCCTTTTAGAATCGTCCCTCTTTACCTTTCCTTACCTTGTCCTGTGTCTCTCCATCTTCTGCTTTCCTCCTAGTGGCTAAGACCTGTGGTGAAATTTTGCAATGACCTGAGTATTCCTGGCTGTGATGACTAGTTTTGTCAAGTTGACCCAATCTATAAGCTCCTAGGAAAAGAGTCTCGATGAGAAGTTGTCTAGATGGAGTTGGTCTATGTGCATGTCTGTGGGGGACTGTCTTGATTGTGTTAATAAAGAGTAGAGAAAATGAGCTGAGTAGAGCAAAGGAAATGAATGGTTATTCTTTCTGGGTTCTTTACTGTGGATGTGACTAGTTGCTTCTGATTCCTGCTGCCTTGACTTCCCTCAGTGATGGACGGTAGCCTGGAATTGTAAACCAATAAATCCTTTTTCAAGTAGGTTGCTTCTTCTCAGAATGTTTTTATCAGTGCCAGAGAAATGAAACCATGACTCTTGTTTTACTCCCAATTTCAAAAGCAAAGCTTTTGGTCCTGGATATTTTAGTTCATGTTCAAAAACAAGTTCTGCAAATATATTTTAATAAATAAAAGAAAGCCTTTCTTTTTTAAAAATAGTTTATTTATTTTATGTACATGGGTGTTTTGCCTTTATGCATGTCTGTGTAAGGGAGTTGGATCTCCTGGAACTGGATTTGCAAACAGTTGTGAGCTGCCATGTTGATGTTGGAAATCGAACCTGGGTCTTCTGAAAAGACAGTAAGAGCTTTTAACAGTTGAGCCATCTCTCCAGTCCTCAAGAAGATTCTTTCTATATGGTTTCTGTTGTGTTTCATATTAACATCAATAAATAATTTTATGCATTTTGGTTTATAATTCATAATGGCTAATCTTAGCTTCTTTTCCTGCTGTTCTGATGAAATAAACTGACAAAAGCAAGAGAAGGGAGAAGGACTTACTGTGGCTCTCTGTCACAGATCATCCTAGAGTCTATCAAGCTGAAAAAATTACTGTAAGAAGATTGCCTTAAATCCCTATAGATAGTTATCCTTTTAATTTTTGTTTATCCTTCTATCTCTACTCTTCCAATCTAAGATAATTTTGTTACCTGAGAACCATTTTCTGTATTTTATCCCTGCTGTCTGGAATCCATTTTGGTTTATTTTTATAGCACATTTGCTTTGAAGTCCATTTATTTGTAGGCTGCCAATGTCCAAGTTTAAATTTTCTCTCAAGACAAAACAATAGCTGGGAAGTGAAGGCACATGCCTCTAATCCCAGCACTCAGGAGGCAGAGGTGGGCAGATTTCTATGAGTTTGAGGCCAACCTGGTCTACAGAGCAAGTTCCAGGACAGGTTCCAAAGCTACACAGAGAAACTCTGTCTCAAAAAAAAAAGGCACAAACAATATTCCATTGCTTTCATATTTCTATTTTTGCTTCTGAGAACCTAAAACAAACTAGCTTGTTTCTTTGAAAACATAACTTTAGTTTTGGTTACACTGATTCTTTTTTTAAAATTTTACTGACCTATACATTTTTCTCTGCTCCTCTCCCCTCTTCTCCCCTCCCCTTCAACCATCTCCAATGGTCCCCACGCTCCCAATTTACTCAGGAGATCTTGTCTTTTTCTACTTCCCATGTAGATTAAATCCAGGTATGCCTCTCTTAGGGTCCTCATTGTTGTCTAGGTTCTCTGGGATTGTGATTTGTAGGCTGGTTTTCTTTGCTTCATGTTTAAAAGCCACTTATAAGTCAGTGCATATAATAATTGTCTTTCTGTGTCTGGGTTGCCTCACTCAATAAAAATGTTTTCTAGATCCATCCATTTGCCTGCAAATTTCAAAATGTCATTTTTTCTGCTGTGTAGTACTCCATTGTAAAATTGTACCACATTTTTCTTATCTATTCTTCAGTTGAGGGAGGTTTAGGTTATTTCCAGGTTCTGGCTATGACAAACAATGCTGCTATGAACATAGTGGAGCACATGTCCTTGAGGAATGATTGAGCATCCTTTGGGTATAAACCCAAAAGTGGTTTTGCTGGGTCTTGAGAAAGGTTGTTTCCTAATTTTCTGAGAAATTGCCATAGTGTTATCCAAAGGTGCTGTACCAGCATGCATTCCCACCAGCAATGCAGAAGTGTTCCCTTTACCCCACAACCTCTCCAGCTCAAGTTGTCATCAGTGTTTTTGATCTTGGCCATTCTTACAGGTGTAAGATGGAATCTCAGAGTTCTATTGATTTGCATTTCTCTGATGGCTAAGGATGTTGAGCATTTCCTTAAGTGTCTTTCAGCCATTTTAGATCCCTCTGTTGAGAGTTCTCTGTTTATGTCTGTACTAAGATTTTTATTGTATTATTTGTTCTTTGATAACAATTTTCTTGAGTTCTTTGTATATTTTGGAGATTAGTCCTCTGTCTGATGTGGGGTTGGTGAAGATCTTTCCCCATTCTGTAGGTTGCCATTTTGTCTTGTTGACTGTGTCCTTTGCTTTACAGAAGCTTACCTTGATACCCAAACCACATAAAGACATTACTAAGAAAAAGAATTACAGACCAATCTCACTCATGAACATTGATGCAAAAATACTAAATAAAATACTGGCAAATCAAATCCAAGAACACATCAGAAACACCATCCACCATGATCAAGGTGGCTTCATCCTAGAGATGCAGGGATGGTTGAACATACAAAAATCTGCCAAAGCAATCCACCATATAAACAAACTGAAAAATAAAAACCACCTGATCATCTCATTTTGAAATGCTTTGCACAAAATGCAACATCCCTTCATGATAAAGGTCTTAGAGAGAGCAGGGATACAAGGAACATACCTAAACATAATAAAGGCAATGTACAGCAAGTCAACAGCCAACATCAAACTAAATGGAGAGAAACTCCCAGCAATTCCACTGAAATCAGAAACAAGACATGATTTTCCACTCTCTCCATATCTATTCAATATAGTTCTTGAGGTCCTAGCTAGATCAATAAGACAACAAAAGGAGATCAAGGGGATACAAATTGGAAATAAAGAAATCAAACTCTTACCATTTGCAGATGACATGATATTTTACATAAGCAACCCCAAAAATTCTACCAAGGAACTTCTATAACTCATAAACACTTTCAGTAATGTAGCAGGATACAAGATAAACTCAAAAAATCAGTAGCCCTCTTGTACACAGATGATAAATGGGCTGAGAAAGAAGTCAGAGAAATATCACCCTTCACAATAGCCACAAATAACATAAAATATCTTAGAGTAACTCTAACCAAACAAGTGGCTTGACTTCTGTAGTTCTGCTTCTTGTTAAGTGTTCTTGTTAAATGAAGTAATCCATCCTGAATGTATAACTTTTGTGTGCTTAAAGGCTCACCTTGAAAAAGGCTCAGAGCTACACTGGGATCCTGAACACATAGTGTAGTCTCCGGCCACCTAATAAAAACTTTCTATTGGCTTAAACCCATGTCTGAGCAGTCTTTTCTGGTAAATAACACATAACACATCAGCTCCCCTTTATACGCAGAAGATTAGATTCGAGACCTACAACAGATATCTGAAACTGGATTAGTCCCAAGCACTATAATGTAATGTCTTTTTTTATAAGTTACTAACCCCCTTGCCAGGCTCTGGGGCCATTGGGGTTGTTAGTTTGAAATGCAACGCTAAAACTATCATGAACCTTGCTTCGTTTCCTCACAATTTCATGAATAAAAGATGAATTTTTATTATTTTATTTTTGGTGTTAAAGATCAGACTTGGATTCTCGCACATACTCAGCACACCCCCACAGTCAAATGGTCTTAGAAACCGAGGCATAGGAAGGTTTTCTTTAGTTAGTACGTTAGTAAGCTCATTTTTTTTTCATTTAAATAAACACTGTTATGGCTTTTATTTAACAGAAGTGAATTGCGATCGTTACAAACTCTATGTTTTGGGACCACAATTATGCAAGTCAATGATTACTTGAACACTGGCACTATGGTACCACAACAGCGGATTTGATAATTGAGATGATAACTGGCTGGCTATTAAGTAGAGAATTTATACTGCGAGAATATGCTGGAGATGAGATGAAATGGAACAGCATGAAATTTCATCAAGCAACCATTGTGTCCGTGAAATTAAAAATAACATGTTATGTGTCCAGGGGTATAGGTGAACAGCCTCCTATTATTACTGAAGAGAAAGCAAAACAGGGATCTGATACTTGGGGAGAAACAACCTGGAGGCGTGTGCTTGGGAATCATCAGTATTCTGAGGCAAATGAATGAGCTCAGACAGAAACTGAGAGCATGTCAATTAGAAGACGCCTAAAACAGAACCTTAGGGAACACTTAAGGTCGCAGCTCATTTTCCCAGCACGCACCTCCACAAGCCACTATATTCAGGCTGGCTGGGTGGATTACTTTAGAGTCTTGGTGGTAGGTTGGACTGCCGTTGAACTCACTGTAGCCAAGGCTTGCCGTTGAATTCACTGTAGCCAAGGCTTGCCTTGAACTCTTGTTTCAATTTTGTTAGTGCTAGGATTACAGGTGCGTGCTACTGTACCCTAACTTGGTTTGAAAGCAGGCTATTGTGGCTCAAGAGCTGAATACCATAGACAAAGTCAAATACCATTTCTGATAGGCTGTCCCACCTGTAACCTGGGTATATGAGAGAGATGCATGTATATCAAAGATGCACCAGGTAAAACATCCCGTAACCTCCCAGGCACCTCTTGGCTTTGACATACACACCTCCTACAATCCTCATCTCAGTCCCCTAGGGAGGTGGAGGGTGAGATGGGTCAGGCATGTTGGGGGGGCGAGCTTGGGTGACGCGGTGTTCACGTGACCGGCCAGGCGCAGACGTGGGCACCAGCCCCCGCGTCCGCTTGCCTGCCCTGCGGTCTGGTCCTGGTACCAGCGCAGAACCAACTCCCTGAGCTGCCCTAAGCAGCAGACCAGCTGCGAGTGGGTTTCTGCAAGCCGGAGAAGGCGCCCAGGCCTGTCCAGGGTTTCCTCAGGTCAGTACAGAAAGTCTGGCTCTGCCTGCAATGCCTGACAGGGGGTGGTGGGGGGTGGCAGCTAGAACCAGCAGCAGCGGGAGGGGAGGGGGAAGGAATCGGATAGATTGGTGAGGAGGGGACATGCGGGCGGGGCGGGAACGGAGAGCAAGGAAGACCCCGCAGCCGGCTTTCTTCCCTCACCCCATCCTGAGCCGTTTTAGAGCAGAAGGGGGATGAGGGGGCCCGCAGTGCGACGGTGAGGCGCAGATGCGCTCTGAAATGATCCACTCACACTCCAGGTTAGGAAGACAAACTGACCCGGACCAAAGGGAGGATGGGGGTGGGGCAGGCTGCCTCCAGAGGCCGTGGGGGGGAGCGCAGAGTAAAACGGAGTTAGGATAGCATCCCGATTTGGTGCCCAAGGCCTGAGAAGAAATGGCGGCTGGGGTATGCGGGGGCGGGGGGGGGGGGTGTGACGGAGGAAAAGGTTGTGTGATGTGATGAGTATGGGCTGCAGGACAGGTTCCCAGTCTCTGTGCATCTACTGACCACAGAACCCCTGCCCCTGTGCTGTGTCTGCAGGTCTGCCCCTCTGTTGTTCCCAGCGCATCGTGACATCTGAAAAGGAGGATCGACCTGCCCAGGATCCCTGCAGGTCAGTGGATAATGGAAACATGGGCACGATTTGGGACCCCACTGCCAGTGCCCTCTCAAGCTGTCCCATGTAACACGCACAGAGCTGGCACTGAAGGAAAACCGAGAAGGTGGCAGGACCTGTCATGGCATGGCTGTCTCAAGGGTGGAGGAGGGGTGCAGGCAGAAACCATTGGAGGGCTAGGACATGGGGACCCCACGAAAGGGCCAGATGCAAAGACAGATGTTAATGAGCCTGTATTCTGCCGATATCTCCGTCTCTCACACACACACATCTCTCCTTTCTTCCTGTTTCCCCACCTTTACCCTCAGGACAAGAAAAGGAGGGAAATCTTGACATGGAAAAACTCCGCGATGAAAACGAAGGGAAGCTGGAAAAGGAGGGAAAGCCAGAAGTTGAAGTAGAGTCTGACGATGAAGAAAAGTCGGATGGGGAAGAGAAGCCCGACAAGAAAGCAAAGCCAGCACGCGAGGGCAAGCTAGAGGAGGCAAAGCCAGATGAGCAGGGACAAGCACAGGATGAGGGGAAGTCAGAAAAGCAGGGGAAGTCAGAAGGGGAGGACAAGCGCCAAGGGGAGGGCAAACATGATTCCCAGGCAAAGCCAGCCAGCGAGCCGCGGGCCGCAGAAAAGCGCCCTGCTGAAGATTACCTGCCGCAGAAAGCCAAGCGAAAAACAGATAGGAGCACAGAGGATTCTCCCAAGAACTCCCAGGAAGACTTCCAGGGCAGGCATGTCAGCAGTGAGGAGATGATGAGAGAGTGTGCAGATGTGGCGAGGGCGCAGGAAGAGCTGAGGAAGAGGCAGAAAATGGGAGGTTTTCCCTGGTTGCCAAGAGATGCTGCACAGGATGCTCTAGTCCCCCGGGGACCACGGGGAGTCAGGGGAGTGAGGGGCGGAGGAGGCAGGGGCCAGAGGGGCCTACATGACATCCCGTACCTTTAATGGCTTTGGCCTTTGATTCTGATTGCTCAGATAAAAAAGACCACAGCTGGCTCTGCTTTCCCTGGTAGATCCTCGCCAGGCTCTGTGCTTCAACCTTCAGCCGAAACTCTGCTTTTTAGGTATCAATGTCCTTACCAGCAGCCTTTTGACCCAACTACAGTGCTTTCTGTCTTTTAGTACAGGATTTCCACCCATGTGCATGTACATTGTAAAATAACAATAAAGAGTTTCCAGAACTATATATACTGTATCAGCCTATTTATATGAAAAGTAAATATGTTTGCAGAATGCTTCTGAGTACAAAGAAAACTATGAAAATGTACATTAAAATGCTAACAATGTTAATCACTACAGGACAAACCTGAATAGATCCCACGTGCACTCAACCATCAGGTGGTTGGAGACTTCCTAACCTTCCCCTGCTGATTTCCCACTTCCAAACTTTCCTGGTTGTAACCAGATCAGTTCAAATTGTGGTCCCTTTCCCTGGGCCCTGTCATATCCTATTGCTCTTTTTATGTTAAAGAATATGGATTACGATTGCCATAATAATATTTTTTAAAAAGCAAAAGCAAGCAAGTGAAGTATTAAACAAGTTTGGAATGGCAATGAATACATTTAACATGCCTAGAATGAAGGTAAAATAAGCAAAGCTCATATTACCTCTGGACCTTGGGGCTAAAGGAATGAACTTAGCATTTATCATGTATCCTTTTCTGTAAGAGTCAGTCTTGTCATCTATGAAATGGGGATGGTACGTGCCTCATAGGATGGCACAGAACATTAGACGGCGTGCTAAGTATGGGTGTGTGGAATAGCAGGACCCCTGAACCTTGTCACCCGAGAGTAGGACTGAGAATAGCTGCCACCTGTTCCCCAGGAGCACCTCCAGGCAGCTGGGATGAGGTGTGAATCTTTGAATACTACTCTATCAACCTTGCCGTGCCATGGTGCCCTAAATATATTTACTCCCTCTAAATAGCCCATCTTTAATGCTGTACATATGGTGCCTAAGGCTCTTATGGTTCCCTTTTGTCCCTAGAGGGTTCTGTCTAACTCCCATCTGACCTCTGAAAGGGTATGCATAAAACCTTACATCGGTACATTTTTAGGTAACTTGGATTTCAGATTAGGGATTCTCAAAAGGAACCCTAGGCAAGGGTTCCAAACACAAGGCAAATGAACAAAGCCCTCTGCAGCCTAAAGCCTTTCTGGGCCCAGGCATTTCTGGCAAGGAATACTTAACCTGCAGTGGTGTGTTTTCCTTCATAGAATACCATGCAATAATGCCTTGTGTCTTTTTTGTTACATGTTACTAAACATTATGATATAAATTGGAAGTTATTTTCTGTGCTCTACTCACAAAATAGCTGAGCCAGCCTTGGGATGTAATCTTTTTTTCTTTTTCCATTCAACTATTTACACTTCCTTCCCTCCTCCCAATCCCCTCCCGCTCCCCCACACCCCCTCCTTCCTCTCCCACCCTGCTTGAGAGAGGGCAGGGAACCCTGCCCGGTGGGAAGTCCAAGGCCCTCCCCCCTACATCCAGGCCTAGGGAGCTGTGCATCCAGATAGACTAGGGTCCCAAAAAGCCAAAACATGGGCTGTAATCTTTTAAAGAATACCTCTATTACTTTTTCAAGTAAGGACTTGTGTCTATAACCTTAGCCAAGTTTTCGAGTTCACATTTCAGGAGAGAGCCCTGTGCTAAGCAACTTTCCAGAGAGCAGTATTTATCAGTGAAAGCTTTTCTGGAGAGGCAGTGTTGAGGAGACCAGATTCATCGCCTCTGCTCTCAAGCAGCAGCTCAGAGAAAGCAGGAATGGCAGCAAAGAAACAGCCACGGGGCTCTCTCATGGTGGATATCCTGACTAAAGTTCTGTCAGGTTTTACTCATTTGGATGTTTTTTTGTTTTTGTTGTTGTTGTTTTGAGACAGGGTTTCTCTGTGGTTTTGGAGCCAGTCCTGGAACTAGCTCTTGTACACCAGGCTACCCTCGAACTCACAGAGATCTGCCTGCCTCTGCCTCCTGAGTGCTGGGATTAAAGACGTGTGCCACCACCACCCAGCTTCAGTGGGTCTTGAGATTGAAATGTACACACGGGGCACATTCCCATCTAGACAATCCAGGTCTGTACTCAGTTAATGAAAACCACTAGGCACATCCACTCTAGAAAAAACTCAGTAGTTGGCAGGAAGAAATTATTTCCTTCTGCAGGTATTATTCAGATCCTCTTCTTAGCCTTCAGTGTGAGCCTTTGCTCAATAGGCCCAAGCATAAAGTGTCCGTGGAGACATGAATAGTATATAAAAAAATAAAAAATATTAACATCCTTTGCCAGCCTGATCAGACTACTGTTATAGTTGAGTCTGGATTATGCCAAACTCTGGGGTCAATGATGGGTCCCAAATACGGTACCATTTCCAAAAGGAAAACTGATTACAGTTGTGACTGAGACCTCCTGGAAAGAAGCTGTGTCTGCAGAGACCGATTGGCTGATTAGAAGTGCAGCGATATGGACAGGTTGGAATGCTGCAACTCCAGAGCCTAAATACCTTATCTTGGGCTAGCTTTAGCCTCCACCACCGCTCAAGACTCATTCCTTATCAGAAATAATATCCTGTGACCAAAAAAAAAAGGATAAAAAGTATTTTGAAATATATTGACAGACCACTAACTTCCAACAACCCAAAAGCTAAGACTGTCATCAGATAGCATCTTGGGCCTGTAGAAATGCTTCCCCCAAGCTGAAAAAGACAAGGTCTCCTGAGTAAACTGGGAGGATGGGGACCATGGAAGAGGGTTGAAAGAGAGGGGAGAGGCACGGAGGGGAGCAGAGAAAAATGTAGAGTTCAATAAAAATCAATAAAAAAAGTGCAAAGGAGAAAAAACAAAGAAATGCTTCCCCCATTTTGTTGTAACTACCTCTCTGATGTACTAGCTACTGTATTTTTAACTTGCCTTGATTTATGACTTTCTTTGTTCTGTTAATCTAGAAAACTTCATGAAGCTGCTTCCACATTGGAACATGGAATTTCTGGTAACCTAAATTTGCCATTCCACAGTTACTTTTAATGGCTCCAAAATAAACTACCTCTTATTCCCTTTAAGATATGAGCAGTGATTTTTTTGCTTTGACACAGTTCAACTTTCCCACCATAGAAAGGCAATATTTTATTCTTAAATGGAAATAATTTATTGTACATTTAAATACAAGTTTTATCTATATTCTTTAAAACTTGCCTACGAAAGGAGGTTAAATCCCTCAGCACTGCAAACAGAGGAAGTGCATAGTTCACTAGTGTGTAACACTTTCACCAAGTTGTTCCCCCAACAGCTTATTTTAGAACATCATCAGCGCCCAAAAAAAGAAACTCTACCCATTCACAGTCGCTAGCATCCCCATCCTCCACTCCTGATAACCCTCACCGCCAGCTAATGGCAACCACTAATTTACCCTCTGTCTCTGTGGACTTGAATATTGTTGTTGACGAAATCATAAGCTTGTGGAGTTTTTGTAATTAGCTTATTTTACTCATAATATTTTAAAGGTTCGTCTGTGCTAGTAACATGTATGGTCTTTCATTCCTTTTTCACTGTCTAAGAACATTACATTTGTGCATTCATTACAATGGATACATTTGATAAATCCATTAATCATTTTACGTATATCTATATTCTTTTCACAGTTAGCTCCTATGAATGGTGCTATTCTGAATATTCATGAGACATGGAGGATGGATCTCTAAAGAGACTCAGAGCCCGAGCGACAGATGTAGAAGTCTGTTCTTATTCTCTGAAAGTGGGAAGGCTCACAGCAAAAGCCTGCAGGCAGACTCTCTTATCCCTAGGTTGAATCCAGAGAAGGGGGTGGGGAAGCGGACGTGGCCCCTTTTTAGTAGAAACTCCCTTTCCAGGACGATGTCTGGGTAGGGTGCCTGTCAGTGTCTGTGATGAGCTGACAGCTGCTGCATGACACTGGCTCGATCCTGACACACATTCTTACACTCTCAATTTCTTTTCCATTTTAACACAAAATTTTATGCTACCATGGGGAACCCTTTCTCATCTAAAAGCATCTCCTTTTTCCTTTAACCGTCTTTACCCCAAAATGTGTTTAATATCTATAACTTTGTTTATTTTGTACCCCTAATGGTTCATTTGTCTTATTTTTTGTGACGTTTAGAAAAAAAAATTTTCTTGACAAAGTGACCATGTTTTAGTAAAAAGAAAAGCTATATATGAAACACAGACAAAATATGTTTAACGGTCTTAGAGATATGTCTCTTTTGTTAATTAATTTAAATTAACCGTTTGTCTAGGATTTAAATCATTTTATAACAGGGACTTAGAGATCAACCTCGCTACAAAAACATCAACTTCTCCTTCCAGCCTTGAAGCACAACTAATAAAAACTCAGAGACAGATATTGGGGTTCACTCTGAAGAACAGAAAAGCAAAACAGCCAGCTACTAGCTCTTACCTCGAGCTCAGTCCGAAAATGGTGATTCTGCCTCCCTCCAGGAAACCTCAGAATGAGACCGAGACTGAGAGCTGTCTCCTCCATTTTTTACTCCTCTCTAGTTTTGGGATTAAAGTCGTGCACCACTACCACCTGGTTTCTATGGCAAGCTAGTGGGATTAAAGGCGTGTTTTATTGCTGCCTGGTCTGGGAGACTGACCAGTGGGGCTGTTATACTTTTCTGATCCCTGGGCAAGCATTATTTATTAAAATATAAATGAAATGCCACTACACAGCTGAAAGACAAGCAAAAGTAGGATAAAAGTCTTGTGTCTCTGCCTTCATTTGTGTTTGCTTCCTGTCTTTGGGGTTTCCTGCTTAGTCCTCTGTTTGGGCACGCTGACCATTGAGGTGTCTGTTTAACTTCTTTCACCCTTCAAAGCCTCAAAAAAAAAGTGAATTCAGGTATCCTAAACCTGCAGTCACGTTGTATTTCAAGAACAACAAAGTAATCATCTCCGAAAGAAACTCTAAGAA